CTTTTCCTGAAACTGTGGTCTCCGTCGGTCATCGATCACTCCCACGCCGCTCACAGCCTTACTTTGAACAGCCGGTTCACACCGATGTGGAGGAACAGATCCCGGAATAACAGCAAGCACAGCGTTCATTTGTTTCACCATATTTTTCACATCGGCTGTGAGATGGGCACGCATGGAGTCACAGATTAACAGCGATGGTGATGCGTGGAAAAAACCACCTGGTCTCCTTACATACACCTCCCTCAGCCACTCTTTCATCATCTCCTCAATGAGGTGGTCTCAAAAGTCCGCAGTAACAACACACATAGGGCGCACCGCACCAAAGGACGCGCCGCACATTTTGAGGGGAAAAAGAGTCGTTTATATGCACCTTATAGTCGTGAAAATACGGTAAGTCTTTTAGCAAGTTTAAATACATAAAACAATATTATTTTTTTTGCTCAAAATGACAACTATAATTCCTCTATTGTCTGTTTTCTATTATTACAGTATGGACTATAACCCATTCAAGTATTTTTTTTTTAAACATTTAATTTTCCTCGACATCTCTCGATGCAAAGGTTAGCGCATAATGATTGCTTGAATGATGGATTATTTCAGAATTTTAGAAGCCTATTGTGCTGGAGCTCTTTTTTTATGTTGTTGTTTCTCCAGGCCCTTAGGGGGCGCATGTTTGCACAGTTCGCTAGGTTGAGCCAGTGGATGAGTAGAAGGTGTGTTACAGGAAGTTACTGCCATAAGTCAGGCATGAGTATGGTTTGGGTTTCATCTGCATCCATCTGCTCTTTTCCATCCCTTTGAGTGGCAATATGAGTAAGGGACAAACATTTTTATGGTTGCTAGATACTATATATCTGATTATTTTTGTAAATTTGAGATGTATGATATGTTGTTTGCTTTAATATGCTGGAGTTAGATTAGAGTGGATGTTATGCTACAGCTAAGTTTAAGTTACCATTTAAATGCATGTTTTACACAAAGGAAATGTTTATTTTATTCATTCTGATGTTTTGTTTGTGTAGTAATATTTTTATGTATTCTGTATCGTTTCAGTTTCACACTTTTTTGCATTAAATCCTGTTCAAATACAACGCACGCCTGTTCCTTGGAGGAAGTGATGCAGGAAAGAGTTTAGCTGGCTGTGAATCTCAATAGAGGACACGGGGTCACATTGGGTGCAACAGTAGACCTATGTTATTGACCCAACATATATAACATACGTACATCAGAGTTTTGAAAAAATGGTTTTTAGATCTAAACTAAAGCCAATACAAAACACTGTCTATGACTGACAAAGTCTATCCTATGGGGAAAAAAAAATCAGTGCTGAAAAGAGTATGCTTTTTAAATTTTGTAGGTTATATTTGCCAGTTTTTAACTGTGGTTGTAATGTGTAGTTTCATTTTATCATCTCCATACATCAGTGGAAACCGGCGCACAAAATGATGGATACCTTGTTTAGATATATGCATTACTATTTTTTTTTTTTCTAAAACTATCTTTGCTCGGCAGCACATATTTACTTGCAGGGATTGGACACAGGTTACAACAGATGTACACATTTCTTTTGTAGGGGTTTCATTCAAAATAGCACAACAGGCATCAGGTGTTGTTGCAGATTATGGATTACTACAATTCTCGTAAAAGCTACTGAAAACTTGGCTTATCATAGTCCTTTCTTGAAAAATGAAAGTTAACGCACACTTTGAATGAGTGTGTACTAATATAGCCACTATAAAACCTCACTTTGTCTTGTGCCATTCATTTGATAGGATTGCAACAAAATTTTTTTTAACTGCATGTCTCAGTTTAAGCTAAGACAAGAAATTATTTTGTAACCCACCAGTTAGGGTTCAAGTACAATTTTTTTTTGTTTTCTACATACTTTTATTGATACTGGGTTTTATTTTGAAAACCGGAAGTTTTATTTTGATAATACCGCAAGTGCGATGCTTAGAAAAGCGCATCTAGCTTAACCTCATTAATTGACTCACGGAGCCCTGCTCCTTCACTTACGTGTGATGAGAAAAGAGAGGAAAAGGTATGTAAAACATATTTTTTGGTGCTCAAACCTTTGGTTGTTTCAGTTAATGGTGTTAACTTTGTAAAAATCCTGTCTAGAGCGTGGATGAGCACAGAGGGATGAACACAACACCATCCCTTGGTAAGCTAGCTCTCACTTGTGTTAATTACTGTATCATCACATGTCATGTTGCTTCGGTGATAGTGATTGAAAAACGTTATTTTGAACACTTTAAGTTAATTTACAGAGGATTTATGTTACAGTGGACATTTTATTTAATTATTGAACCAAATATCTTCAGTAATGCACGCAAATTATAAAATAAATTCAAATTGATTTACATGACAGGTATTTGATTGTAAATTGTTAATTTCATAGGTTAAAGACAGTAAAAATATAATTTAAGTTAATTCATGGAGCTGAAAGCAATGTATTTTGGTTTAAAATATAAAAATATGTTAAAAAGAGAGTTAAACAGAGATGTTGCATAAATGTTGAACAAAGTTTATGCATTTTACTTTGAAGCATAATGTGCAATTCATTAGTAAGGTACCGTATTTTCACAACCATAAGGCGCACCGTACTAAAAGGTGCAGTCTCAGTTATGTGTGCCATTACTGTATATAACACACACATAAGGCGCACCGGACTATAGGGTTAGGGTTTTATATACAGGTACATGTCCTCTACTACGTTTAAATACCTCTACTGCGTATTTAAAAATAGAGCAGGCGCAAAACTGAGTATGTTTGTGCTTTATTCATGTATTTATTACAAAGTATTAATCAAACCTGGGAGCAGGTTTCAGCATTTTAAGTTAATTTAGGCGTTAATAAACTGTTTCAGAGGAGTGATCACAGTGCTCTGTATCATCAGCGATGTGTCTGTCTCGCTGTCAGCTCCCAAATCAGCTTCTCTGATTGGTTGACGCGGCGCATCAAGCAGCAAAACTTCAATTTTTCCATCTCGAGCAGCAGCGCGTTTGCGGCACATCACGTGTGTCAGATGCTTAAACGCTCCCGACGCGCTGCACCTGCTGCTCAAAACGCGCTGCGGGACCTTATTCTGACATGGTAATAGTTGAAAAACACCAAACTAATTGTTATCTGCTTGTTATAACTGTCTACAGTTTATTATTTGGAAAATGCATTTATAGTTGTACAACACCTTGATTATAATGAACGAGATGAATATATAAGAGTTTAGACTATAAACCTGTTTCTAAATGCAGGTCAGGTCTTTTTGATGAGTCCAAGAAAATTGAAGATTCTAGCCCTAATGTCCAGGAAAGCTGATTCTATGACCTATTGATGGCGAGCCTCCCAGCTTGAATCCAGAGTGTCCACACCACCATACGGCGGACCACCAATCTGTCTATGGTATGATCGTGCCAGTCACTTTGACGGACACCACCTTGAGTCTACCTCAAAAAGTGCACTTGGATGCGCTTGGATGATTGAACTAAGAGCAACCGCTCTCAGGAAGGAACAAAGGAAAATCAGACTCTCTAAGAGACACTTTACTTTCTTAGTTAAAGGGCCCATAGGTTATGTTATTATTATTGTGTGTTGTATTATATGTTGCAGTGTTCTTTTTGGCAACTAAAATCTACAATGCTACAACCACCTGTGTGTTTGGTTATTCCACTATCTCTCAGCTCTTAGGAACCTAGTCTGTGACGTGTACATACCTTGAAGTGGGTTACAATTGTATTGTGCCATATTCAGAAAGACTGGGTGTGACAGTAGCAAAAACAAAAGATAAGACTTACACTTTAGATTAAAAAAAAGGAAACTTTATTTCCCATTTTTATTATTGAAACCAATCGTATTCCTCTAACTAAATGAACTCTAGCTAATCATAGAAATAGATTTGAAAGAACCATGTGCAGTCCAACTTCACAGGAGTGAAGTTACTTGTATCTTTACTCTCCCTGTTAGATATCGGTACTGCATTTGATACAGTCAGTCACAATATTTTGTTAGGAAAGTTTAAAAGTTTATCTAGGTACAGAAATAAAGGAACAGTGCTAGGCTATGTTCAAATCAAAAGTTTTAGTTTGTTCATGTAAATGATAAATCTTTCCTAAGCTACATGGTTACCATTGAAGTAGCACAAGGATCAGCGCTATAGCAAATTCTCTTTACTGTATATATACACTCCAAATAGGTAGACATATCAGAAAGGATAAGATCAATTACCACTATAATTCTATAATACTCTACCATATTTGTGGTAAATCCCTTATTTAATCAGATGTTATTTGGGCTGTTTTATATATTGCTTATGAAGACACACCCTACTAGCTGTGTGTTAGAACAATAAATGAAAGAGTGATTTGAGCTCAAATCACCATCAAACATAACTCTGCACATACATGGAATAAATTCATCACAACTTCTGTTTAAAATAAAAGAGTTTATTAACAAAATCATTCAGCTCCAAGTCAAACATATTTCAGTTAAAAACTCTTGATTAAAATTAATGAAACTCAACTAAACTAACTACAATGTACAAAGTAGAAGGGGAAATACGGTTGAAAACCATATTAAAATTTAAGATGGATTTTGTGTTCGGAAAACCAAGGTTTATCTGGAGGAATTTGGGATGTGATTAAATTAGCTTTTCACTAATTTAGAGCAATTGGAATGTTTTCAAACCAATTCAATACAAATCCATGAGGTAAATAAAACATTATTTGGCCAAATAATGTTTTATTAAATGGTTTGCTTTATCAGGAACCAGTAACCTTTAGTTAAATGGTTCTTTAACCTCTAGCTAGTAGCGAATAGACATGAGGATTCCATTAAATGACTGTTGGTCATACTTGGTAAATGAAATGTAATGAGCATATGAGAAAACACATGAACACTAATGTTATATCAGTGTTTAAACCGTTAGTGAAATAAAGCTTGTCTAAGCTTCAACAACAGCTCAAAATATATTACAGTAGCATAGCATGCAGTCCATCCTCTTAGCTTTGTCTTTACCCATCAGTTAACACATGATGATCAAAATCATCAAAGACATATAGGTTTGAGTTTCATCCAGCAGCAGCTTAGCATGGCAGGCTCACAGAAAACGCTG